TCAATAGTTTTTTTTTTAATATTCAGACTAGCCTGACACAGTGGAGCAATTATTTTCCAGTACCTGGATTATTAGGGAAGGACATCCTTGCACAATACATCTAATTAAAAAATGTAAGTGAAATATTATTGCAAACAGTGTTTATCTTTGTACTACTTATAGATCAACAAGTTGCTCGCATGGAAAAACTAGCTGGTTTAGTAGAAGAATTGGAAGCAGATGAATGGCGGTACAAGCCAATAGAGCAATTGCTGGGGTTCACGCCATCCTCAGGCTGAAAGCTTTGGAATCACTGGTGTTGAAAGACAACACAAATATACACCACTAAGGACTCAAATGTGCTCTCATTTATAGTGTGTTCCTAGCTCCATCATATTTTTAAGTACACATCAGGTGGTGCTGTAATCATATCCAGTAAGTTACAACAATAAAACTGTAAATCCTTGTAGTCTTCTTCATGGTAGACATTTGGTAATAATTCAGCAGGGCCTCCTTGCTGTAATTTGTGATACAGTAAGTTTTAAAGACAGAATAACCTGTTTGTTTAAAGGGGAAGGGAAGGTTATTGTAAAAAACCCAATCATTTATACTCACAGTGGTGTGTACATGCCTGAACTGGCCAGGTAATATCAATCATTCAGGACGTAGATACTTTTGCTATTAGAGTTCAAATCCTGAAGGGCAAAAGCATGGGGTACTGAATGGAAAGAAGGTTCTTGTTGAAGATGAATGTGATAACTAACTGTGCAGGGTGAACTGAAGGGGAAAATGTTAACTGATTTCTATATTTAGAGCTCCTTGTTTTTGCTGAATTTTTTCACTCTGCTGGAATGTTTCTTTTTTGCCTGTAAACAAGGTATTAGGAGAATGGAATTGTTTAATGCAGACACAATGACTCAAGACACTGAAATCTGTTCTCACTTTACTAAAGTGTACTAAAATTGTTTCATGGCCAATAAACATCAAGAGTTTGAAGTCTCTTTCTTGAATTTTTCTAAGGCTTTGGGATGTGAGGAAAGAAATCAACTGTTTTGTGGACAGGATGGAATGTTATGGAGCAGCAGAGGCAGCTCCATAGTTGTAATGGCAATCCACAAGATGAACCTCTCCAATCCAGCATTCTCTGGTCTGGCAATCTTCATGGTCCAGCATGATTTTTGTTAGCTTTAGGTCCACTTATGGGTGTGGCCCAGGTTCCTGCTACCTCAAAGTTTTACAGGCACCAGTCCTGGCTCTGTTTGGAGCTGTTATTTAGCTTTAATTTACCCCTAAATGTGTTCTAACATCCCAGTAACCAGTGGAAGTGTTGGTAATGCTGCTAAGCCCAGGGTAGGCAAGATGTAGCTTGCAGGCTTGATGTGGCCTGCCAAGCCACCTGATATGGACTGCGGCCACCTTGCTAGGACTCTTAGAGCAGCTCACACCACTTTAAACAGCTGGCTGCTGACACTTCTCTCCCTCCCGCCCCCAGCATCCAGAAGAGGGGGGAAGTGTCATGTATAGCCTTCTCTTCCCTCCTTCCGCCTCTCCCACCTCCCCATGCTGGAGCACAGCAACATGGAGCAGCCAGCCATTTTACTGAGGCTGGGACTGTAGGTAGACGGGCAGCCTACCTCAGGTTCCAGCAAGGTTGCTGGCTTGGAGTCACCGAGGTAAGTGCCTCCCAAGCAGAGCCTGCCTCTGTCACACATACCCCCTTCCCAACCACCTGCCCCAGGTCACCAGTCAAATGAGTGGTACCCCCTTTCCTCACCTCCAGGTCACAGCTCCCTCCCAAACTCTGTACCCCCTCATGAACTCCAACCCCAGGCCAGAAATCTCTCCTGGACCCAGCCCCCCAAGCCTCTGCCCCAGATCACAACCCAAACTCCCTCTTAGATCACACTCCAGTCTCCTACCCCAAGCTTCCTTCTGCACTCAACCTCTGTCCTAGACCACCTCAACAGAAGTGTGGCCCTTGGCCACTTACCAAAATCTTGGAGCCCATTAAAAGTTACTGCTCACCCCTGTGCCAGACAATATTGATTTTCCATGGTCTGGCAATTCTCTGGTTCCTTAGGTCCTGAGGGTGCCAAACTAGGAGTTCAAGCTTAAGACTAATTTTTAAAAGATCCCCCAAAAGAATCCCCTTCGCCCTACACTTTGGCCATCCCTGTCAAACATGCCAAAAATATATCAAAAGTGCAAAGCAATATTACTAGGATATAAAATTCCATTTCTCGGACAAGAAATCCAATGACACACAATTTCTACGGACTCAGAAAACATATGTCCTGTGGCAAGGCATTTCATATCAAACATGAATAGCAATCTTAGTACTTACATTGCTCCCAGAATGTATCATATGTATCTGAATAGCTCACAACGCCCTGGAAAGGAGGATAGTAATATGTCACCGCTCCGGGCAACTGCACTTGTATCCTGCACTGTGGTAAAGCAAGGGCACCCACTCTCAAGCTTCCAGATACCCTAGCTATTACCTCTTGAGCAGACAAGTACATCTTTTCACTCCTTTCCGAGCAGGATAGTTCCAGGATGCACAGTCCCCTGAATATACTGTCATTACAGCAAGATATTGCCAAAGCAAGCCTACTTGCTTTATCTTCAGAAATTGATAAAGTACTGTCAAGTTACTATACAGTAGTTCTCATACAAGCCTATTTTATTCTTAAAGTACTACAAGCTAAATATTGAAATAATAAACATTTACAAGCATGCTAATGAGCTTCCAAGAGATCCTTCCAACTCTCTTCAACTAGGGATGTTAAAAAGCTTGGGGGGGGTTGTTAGTGTAAACATATAGGGGAGGGGGAAGGCAAATGTGGGAGCTAGCATGCATGGGAAGCTGGCTTAAGACAGCTTCCCCAAGCACTGGCTCCCACCTCTTTACATGCAAACCCCTACCCCCATTGCTGCCTCTGTAACTGTGATGGTTAACTGATGACCCCTGGCTCAGCTGGTTAACCGTATACACAGTCACATTCTTATCTTTAACATGGGCTCTGGCAAGTGAGTGCTTCAAACCCCTTGCAAAGAAAAAGTCACCCATGGTCATAAGTTCATAACCACATCATGTCTGAACTAGCACCTACTCTCATGGGCCTTAGTATACATTACGTCCTTTCCAACTTTTGCCTAAGTTCTGGGATCCTTAGTGGACTAACAATCCTGTCCTGAGCCTTTTTAAAACGAGGCTATATATCTAAAAATCCTGTCTTTTGGTCTCTGGCAAATTCAGTTTGAACTCTATGTGAGCCTCTTCAGGAATTTTGCTTCTAAGGGCTAATAACTAGTGGAGTTATAGTAACATACTCCAGTTACATAAACTCTCCCAACACCACAAACAACTGCATTTTACTATGATGATCCCCAAAGTAGGGATGTCAAATCCCATTTAATCACTTAAATGTTAGGTTTAACTGGTTAAACCTGATCTTGCAAACAGAAGGCCTGATTGGATCGCTCCCGGCCTGCAGCACAGTGGGTCCAGCCAGGCTGAAGCAACCCCCCAGCTTGCGGCATGGTGGGCTCAGCTGAGCTGGAGCAGCCTTCTGCCTGCATGGGGGTGGGGAGCTGCTCCAGACTGGACAGGCCACTGGTAAACCAGTAACTGGTAAGCATCATCCAGTAAGGGTGATGCTAACCAGTGACATCCGTTCCCCAAAGGCATTGATCTTAGTTTACCGAGAAGTACTGTGGCATCTTATCAACTAACAGATTTATTGGAGCATAAGCTTTTGTGGGCAAAGACCCACTTCATCAGATTCAGACTAACATAGCTACCCCTCTGATCTTAATTTACTTTAATTCCATTAGATTTGTCCAGGATAGTGTCATATCCTTCATGGTATTATTCCCATTTTACAGGTAGGAAACAAAGACACAGAGAAATTAAGCCTAAGGTCCACATGGGAAGCCACTGGCAGATCAGAGATCTGAACCCCGGTGTCCCAAGTCCTAAACTGACCCATTAATCAATGGATCATTTTTCTTCAGCACATTACACCACCAGAACTTACAACATTCTGATTTAAGAGTCTGGTAACCTGAGTCTATTGCTTTTGAAATATGTATTACAGCATGATTCAGTACTATAAGAAGTTATTACCCGTTTCTTCTTCGAGTGGTCCCCGTGGGTGCTCCACTCTAGGTGTCGGGCTCGTCCCGGTGCCGCTGATCGGAGGCTTTTCGTAGCTGTAACCGGCCGGACCGCGCATGCGCGGCAGGCTTTGCGCGGTTTCTTCAGTCACGCGGTCCGGCCCCTCCACCAGTTCCTTTCAACCGTCCTAGGTTGCTGACGGACATCAGACTCTCTCCTCAGAGACAGCTCCTTTAGATAGAAAAGTTAAAAATTGTCACGAGTTTTCCTCAGTTTATAGTTACATTTAGTTAGTTATTTGTTTAAAAAAAAAAAATTTCTAAAGTTGGACGTAGCTAGTTAAGCTACTGTTTTTTCTATTTTTCGTTATCTTTAAAGACAGAAAATTCAAAATGCCCGGTTCACCGGGGTTTAAGAAATGTTCGCTATGCAAAGACCCCATGCCAGCGTCCGATGGCCACGACGCATGCATACGCTGCTTGGGGGAGTCCCATGTGCCGAGCAAATGTGCCCATTGTTCCAAACTAACGGCCAGAGCACGTAGGGACAGAGATATGAGGCTGAAGCTTATTTTATTTGATAAGGCTCTACAGCCTTCTGAAACGCCTCAAGGAGATTCTTCTCAGACTCGCAAGAGGACGTCTCCACCGCAGAGCGGGTCGACTCAAAAGAAAGCTAAAAGTGTCTCCCCAGCGCGATCTCTGGCTGCGGTCCCTCGATCTAAAATCAGCGAGGGTGACCAGCCAGGTACCTCTGGAATGGGTTAAAAACCCATGAAACAAAAACCGGACAGAAGTAAATCGGTGGGACGGTCGTCTTCAGTGCCGGCACCATCCACTGCCGCCAGCCCCA